ACGACGACGTAGGCGCCTCCACTTTTCAACTGCCCGCTGCTGCGTTTTTTTTTTTAAATTCTCCCTATCATTTCGCTTTCCTCTATTCAGATTCTTTTGGGAATTTGGGATTTTGAGGGCAAGTCAAATCGGCAATCACTGGAAGCCGATGTGATGCACAATCCGGCGAACGCAAAATTTCCGCTCTCTCTCTCTCTCTCTGTCTCTGTCTCTGCCTGTCTCTTTTATCTCTCTCCCTTTGTCTTCCGTTCCTCTTTCTCGCTTTCTATGTCCGTTCTTCATTTGTTTCCGTCTCAACAATTTTTTGTTTGGCTCTTCTTTTGTTCCCCGTCCCATTAAGCACTCACTTCAAACCACCTCAAATCTGTCTCTTTGCTATGCGACAGATTCCCTCCCGCCCCCAAATCTGATAGACCGCGACGTTTCAGCTATATGGATGTGTCGAGGAAAACGGAGCAGTTGAAGATTGTCAGACACTTCAAACCACCTCAAATCTGTCTCTTTGCTATGCGACAGATTCCCTCCCGCCCCCAAATCTGATAGACCGCGACGTTTCAGCTATATGGATGTGTCGAGGAAAACGGAGCAGTTGAAGATTGTCAGACACGATCATCAGATGAGAAATGACATTGTGACTCATCGATAAGGGGATGGGTTGGGTTTTCTCGCGCTCATGAGCCTTGCGGTTGTATTGGAAACCAATGGATCTACTTCTGTTTTTCCTGATTAGGTTTCTTCTTCTTCTTCCTCGTTTGCTTCTTCGCCTCGGCATTTCAATTCAATGCAATTTGTTGTCTTCTTCTCGTTCTTTCCTCGTCCTTGCTTTCCCGCGCTCCTTGTCGCACAACTTAGCCGAATTCGCTGCGACGAAGTAAACTTTGCTAGTTCGCTATAAGGAACCATGACTAGAGACTTCATCGTAATCGGTAGCGGGTAGGGATTCAACAGTGTGAACACAGCTTAGTATCATTACTATGCTCATAATAAGAGGATGCATGCGCATAAGGACTGATGCGCTAGTAGGTAGGCGGGGAGAGAGAGAGAGAGAGAGAGAGAGAGAGAGAGAGAGAGAGAGAGAGAGAGAGAGAGAGAGAGAGATGACAAAAATGTGTAGGTAGCTAGATGGATAGACATATGGATGCCCATATGGGTAGATGGATGGACATATAGATTGATGGGCATGCAGATAAATAGCAGGACATGAACCGATAGACGGACGGACATATAGGTAGATAGTTACATAGATAGATGAACGGATGGACAGATGGACTTATAGATAGATAGATCGACAATAGAGAGATGGTTATCTGTATAGATTGATAGATAGACATATATGGACATACATATGGACGGGCATGCAGATAGATATATAGATAGATAGATAGGTAGATAGATAGATAGATAGATAGATAGATAGATAGATAGCTGGACACGCAGATAGATGGATACATAGACTGACAAGTAGACAGAGGAATAGACCGATTTGACAAGTAGACAGAGGAATAGACAGAGTGACGGACATATCTGGGTCGGCATAGAGATAGACGGAGATGTGGATAGACGGATGGGCTTGTAGATAGATGCATGGACATCTAGATAGATAATTTATAGATAGATTCATGCACAGACAGACAAATGGATGGATATGTAGATAGATGTATAGGTAGATGGATGGACATATAGATAGATAGACGGATAGACGGACATGTAGACAGATCGATAAACAGACAAACTGACGGATAGGTAGATAGATAGAGACGTGGGTAGGTATCCAGATATAGGTGGATAGGTACATATCTGAGGGTGCGAGACGAGATCTGAAGAGCTTAACGTGCGCAAGGGAGAAGCGCGTACGTGTTTAATGGGGCGTTTGTATGCATCCGGCTTGTGAATGCAAGTGCATTCCGTGAACGCATTGTTTTGGGCCCATGTTTAATTGCGCAAACATGAGAAACTTGAAGACAGATAGGTACGTCGAAGCATATTAAGCCACGTGGAAACATAAGGTAAAAGGCAGCCTGAGTGCATGATCGGCTGGGTGGCCAGGGACTGCCAGGCTGACTGCTTCACTTGCTATTGATCGGTTGAGCTGTCATGATGCTGCAGATCGCCGCTTATTACTCCTCGTGGAAACAGTAGGCTATTAACTACATATAGTACTGCTACCGTCTTCCCCCGAATAGAACGCACGGTCATTATCGCTGTATCGAGACGACATGTTGCCCCAAATACCGCATTATGACCGTGCGCTCTATTCGGAGGAAGACGCTAGCAGTGGGTTATCCGTTACAATCTCTCTCTACGTATGTACACTCTATACTTCGGTGGTAGGGATATAATTTTCGTCCCTTCCTTTCTGAATTAGGCATTGTTTTTTTATTTTTTTATTTTTTTATTTTAATTAGGCATTGTTGAGGAGGTGGAGTTGGGGAAAAGGCAGCGGTGGCGAAAAGTGAAAACAGCGGGAAAGTGAAATATCCCTGGCCTGATCCGCTGTTCATGGCCCATGACCAGATACATGTGCATAAATTGGTCACACACAACGTGGTGGTCACTCTATACATTGCAATGATTACCACGTTCGTGCAAACAGTATGTCGTGTTATGTGCATGTCGTAAGTACGTGCTACTGTTTTCACCCGTATACGACGTACGGTCATTATTGCGGTATCTAGATTCTTAAGTTGCCCCAAATACAGCTATAATAACAGTACGTTGTATTCGGGTGAAGACGGTAGCAATTACGCAGTACGTAGCACGTGGTCCTTATTGCACGAGAGTTACTACCATCTTCATCTGAATAGAACGCACGGTCATGGTGGCTGTATCCATGGTGAAGGTCTGCCCAAACAACGGCTATAATGACCGTGCTTTCAATTCAGGCGAAGTGCGTAACGTATGGAAGTCACTAGTTTATCATAGAGACGATTTTGGGCAACAGAAATCCCCATGATGTGTGTTGTGCAAGTGGTACCATGTGGAATATTTTGTGCTGTTATGAAGTAGTATACTTACTACGGTTGTAAAAAAAAAAAAAAAAAAAAAAACTACAGTTAATTGCGTAAATGAGTAAATGCAATGTACCTAACTTGTCTGTGATGGAGGCCGTGTAGTGCATAACTGTCATATTAAATAGTGATCACATACTACTGAGTACACTGTCAGTAGAGATACCATGTTGTTCATAACTGTAGTGCTTAGTACTGAGTACATCCTACCGAGTAGTAAGTACTATGTAATTGGAGAAACCATGTAGTACTTGTGATACTTATCAGAAACCAGTACCGACGCGGCAGGTTTCGAGTTCGCGAAAAAAAAACACGTGCCCACAAAGAAAACAGCCGCTGAGTTTGAGAATGCCATTTCGGTCGAAAAGGATACGTTGGACCTTCCCCTCCTCCCCCCCCCCCGGTCTAAACCACGGCCGACCTCTGTAGTTATAACACCCGGCCTGATACCATGGCCGTGCTACTTTCATTGCATTTTGGAACTCGGCGGCTGTTTTCTTTGTGGGCGCATGTTTTTTTTTGCCTTTGCGAACTTAAACATGCCGCGTCTGTACTGGGCAGTGGGTTCTAATAAGTATCACAAGTACTAGACATAGTTTCTTTAATTACATAGTACTACATGGTTTTATTAAGTATCACAACTACTACATGGTTTCTTTTTTTTTCTTTTTGGAAACACCCACCAGTGCTAGTGGTGCTGATAAGAGCAGACACCACTAGCACTAGGGGAGAGGCTCCATCTATTGGTGGGGAGCATCACCTGCTGGAAAACGGGTCCAGCGTCCCTTATATACAGACTGAACTTTGAGTATCTTTTAGTACACAGTTATGGGGTGCTGCCAGCATTGATTACCCTGGGGTCCAGGGGATTGACTGAGCAGGACTTGTACATACTGGACCCACACCCTTTTTTTCCAATCAATACGGGGGCCTGTCTTTCCAGCCGGGTCATGGGTGGACAGGCCAGGTGTGAGGGGGGGATAGGGAGGCAGGTTCTGCATCCAGGGGCGACCGGAGCAGAGACTTAATCCTCCTATTCCCTTCCTCCATCCTGACCGGTCCCACCAGGATTGTGCTGGACGGGCTCCACAGTATCTCGGCCATACCAGCTCAGCTCGACTAAGGTGTTGTTTGATGGGGGAAACAGATCAGGAAACTCAGAAACCGGGGGGAGTGGGATGTTGCTGGGGATTTCAGTCTACATGGTTTCTAATAAGTATCACAAGTAGTAAGACTTAGTTCGAAAATGCTACTGATTATTTTGTGCATAAGAAACTTTAAGGTGACAGACATCAATGTAGTTGCCCCTACTGATTACTAAGCACTGAGTAATGAATACGATGTACTAAGTACTGAGTAATGAATACTATGTACTAAGTACCGAGTAATGAATACTATGTACTACTGAGTAGTAAGTCGTATGTAATTGGAGAAACCATGTAGTACATAGCTGTTACACTCAGTGCTGAGTACAGACTACTGAGTACTATGTAAGCAGAAACCATGTGGTACGTAAGACTTAGTAGGATGTGCAAAGCAGGGGCACCATGCACTTAGTATTTTGATTTGAATCCCGAGTAACATGAGTTGAATCTTGAGCTCACAATGTGCTTAGTGTTATGATTTGATGATTTGAATGCGAGTACACAAGGTTCTTAGCAGTATGATTTGAGTGCTGAGTTCTCAGTGGTGAGCAGCTACAAGTATTATGTGCTTAATATGTGTCAAGCACCATGTACTTAGTATTCTGGCTTTAGTACTGAGTTCTGAGTACTATGGACGTACCGTAGTAGGAAAGTCCTTGGTACTATGGACGTAGTAGCAGAGGACTTACTAGTACTATGGACTTGGGAGCTCAGTTCTCAGTACTGTGAACTCGGTATTATTACTCTACTGTAATCTCAACACAACTTTTAGTTTGACGGATGAGTTAAACGCGAGAGCACATCCAGACACTGATGTATGCAGCTGACCAGGAGTCCAACTTGACCAGCATTCAAGCATTTTGGCTATGATAGCAGGACCTGGTGCCTGTGAGTGTGAGGAACCTGCGTTGTCATTCATTTGTATGCCGAGGTATCGGAGCAGTTCTCTTCCACTCTACTGCAGCACAACTCTTAATACCTGAGTTGAGTTCTCAGAACGGTGACCTTAGTATTGCTACTCCACGGTGATCTCAGTACAACTCAGCAGCACTGAAGGCATAACGTCGGCGGGTGTCGCTGCCGCGGTTCAAGATGTTGTCTAAATGAATGCGGCCGATGGCTTTTGCTGGCAATGCTCGAAGTACGTCCTGAGACTGTTTCACGGGCCGCGGTCAAATTGTCCCAAGTCACACTACTGGGTGAAGGAATTGGGCAAGGTTCAACTGCATAAGTGCGTCTGATAACTGGAGTGATAAAGGAATCGCTAAAAAAGTCCTATAGAGTCCGTCTTAAGTCACCAGTGGAAGAACTCCATCTCCAAAACTGCAGGCTGTGCACGAGGCGGCCTGGGCCCTCTTTTGATGCACCGGCCTGCCTGCCTGCCTGCAACCAGTTTGATACTGTTTTTTTTTTTTTTTTTTCTGTGTCTGGATTCAAACTTGGGTCTGTATTTCAGTAGTTCGATTTTCTAGTTTGATGGGTTGCCGTACTGGATGGGAATTTTTTCTTCAGGTGGGAATTGGCTTGGGTGCACTGATGGTTTCAGAATCACATGGGATGATGGGAGGGAGATCCAACTCATTCTGTGGAAGAACCTCATACGTGCATGGGTTTTGTTGATTGAGGAGGATGAGTTAGTTTGCAGGCATCCGAGTGGACAAGCATAGAGGGTGATAATTGCGTGTGTTAGTTCACGGGCACCCGAGCGAACAAGCATAGAAGGTGGTGATAATTGCGTGCGTTTCAAGCTCTTGGTTCGATTGCACACGGCACCCTCTGCGATGCGTGTTTCCTTTGTGTAATGTGCATTTCACTGCGAATTGCGATATGTAATTGCTCTGGCAGTATGATGTGCAGGTTTCCTGCAAATTGATGTTCATGGGATCTCTGGAATCTGCCCCCTGTTTCTCTTTAGCGAGGCTCTCTTCTTGCTCATCTTCATCGCTGCCTCCTTGTGTTTTTTTTTTTTTTCCCCTTCTTCTTCCTCTTCTTCTTTACTCCAACAATAACCATAGTTATTTGAATTTATGTCTATTATTCATCTTAATATTGATATTATGATTAATTGGCAACCCCAGATGTTATTGAACTGGACAGGATTTGGACTGGATGGACAACCTACGGATCATTAGTTCTAGGTGTGCACTATTCAGGCTATAGACCGATACGTCAGTCTGATCGAGGTTTCTTTTTCTTTTTCTTTTTCTTTTTCTTTTTCTTTTTCTTTTTCTTTTTCTTTTTTCCCTTTCTTCCTTTTCCCCCCTTTTAGAAAGCTTAGGGCGATGGCCTTAAAATGTCATCTTTGAACTGACCGGCACTAGGTGAATTCAGAATTACATCTGGTTGCACCTCACCCCGCTTCCCCTTTCTGGATTTTTCGTCCTTTTGTTTGACACTTGATTCTGCTCTTTGCAGCTTGTTGCTGACTTTCAAGCATTTCCTGAGAACGTTTGTCCTTTTTTTTTTCTCATTTTCAAATTCTGTATCAGGTCTTCCGTCTGCGGAATGGAGAGCATGGCTGGTGCTGATGGAAGTTGCCCTGCTCAGGTGGAAGCTAATGAGAATACTATCGGGGCAATCCCGGTGGTTCGGGAAGAGGCACATGCAGTAGCTTTGTCCATTGTAGGCTGTAATAAGGTAGAAGTGGCGACTGCTAATAGTAAGGAAGAGAGAGAGGCAGAAGAAGAGGTTATGCGGTTTTACAGAGGTGAAGCTGCAAGTCCGAGCGAGGAGACTCCTTCCCCTGATCAGTCTTCCTCACCACCAAAGCTGGACCTAGGACCACCTGCACTGACGGGAGAAGTAGTGGCATTTGGAATCGAGGAAGAAGAGCATCATGATGGTGATGTAGAGGACGTGAAGGCTTTGGCGGCAGTGGAAGAGGAGGAAGATGAGGAAGATGAAGACATGAAGGCTTTGGCAGTGGAGGAGGAAGAAGATGAAGAGGATGAAGAGGATGAGTTGGAGGAAGAACCAAAGAAGCAGGAGGAACACTGTCAGGAGGGTGGCGATCATGCTGCTGAGACACAAGGCGGATTGACATCAACGAGTGTACCAGCCAATGGGCCTGAGCCACCTATCCCATCGTTATCAGCAACAGCAGCAGCTGAAGCAGAGGTGGAGCATGCTATTGACGAGTCTGACACGGCGGTCGTGGGAGAGAGCGACTTGCAAACAACGGACGAAGGACCTGGTAAGGCTTGTGAAGTTGGAGAGGCAGAGCCTCCTGGGATACAGGAATGGTCATTCATCGAGCAAACTGGTCTAACTGCGTCAATGATGGAATCGGAAGAAAGGGTTGCCATTGGGTCAAATCAGATACTGGTTGACTACGACAGCCAAGCTATCCTGTTAGATAGGGAGTCAAAAATAGATGGACATGATGTAAGGGAGGAGGGAGAACATGTTTGGGCTGAAGAACGGGAAAGACCAGCTGATGTGATGATGGTTGACGAGGACCAATCGCAGGTATATGAGCAGCAGGCGGAGAAGGATAGATCCGCAATTGCTGTGGGAGAAGATGCACTTCCTTCAGCAGGAGAGAGCAGAACCATTGTAGAGGGAATAGGAGCCACAGGGAAGGCAACATGCGACACACAGGCTGCTGGAGACGAAGAAGAGATGGAAATTGCTGCCACTGGGGAGGAAACATGTACAGCAAAGGTGGAGGAAGAGGAGGAGGAGGAAGAGGAGGAAGAGGAAGAGGAGGAAGAGGAGGAGGAGGAGGAGGATGATGATGTTGAGGTGGCAATAGAGGGGGAGGGGGAGGAGGATGTGGAAGAGGTAGATTGGGAGATGGTGTCGGTGGAAGACACAATTGCCAGTAGAAGCCCGGAAATTGCACGTAAGGATCAGGTGGGGAATCAAACGGGAGTAGAGGAGATGGCTAGGGAGGAAAGCTCTTTTGTTACGATAGGTTTGGTGTTGAGTAGCGTTGGAGATAGAGAAGAGTCAAGGATGGTAGAAGAAGAAAGAGAGATTACTAACATCAGCGAGCAGGTTAAGTGGACGGATCTGGAGGAAGCCATAGAATGTAGGCAGGAGGATGGAGAGAGGGGTGCAGAAGACATGGAGTGTGAAGTCGGCCATGCACAAACAGAGCACGCAGAAAGTGTAGGTACACAAGTGACCACTGGAAGTCATTTAGATAATGCTAGTGCAGCTATTGGAGCGAGTATAGAGGTGGGGAACCATGTGCGAGAGGGTTGGGGAATGGAGGAACAAAACGATGAGGCGCGGGAGGACGAGCAGGATGAGGAAGATGAGGAGGAAGAGGATGACATTGACGAAGCTGTACATATGTTGCCTCCTGAAGAACCGGATGCAGATAGGTTTGATCAGGATGGTGTTGAATCTGTTGATGCTGACATTGGTGAGATTGGCGTGGGGAATGAAAGCGAGCTGGATCAGTCGTATCAGGCATTGTCGACTAGAGATGTGGCAGTACAGGCAGATGAAACGGAGGGTGCCGGCTTTGTTTCTGAAGGACCATCAGCAGGAGGTTGGAGCAATGGAATCCTTTCTGAGGGGGCTCCTGTTGGAAGCCCATCAGATTCTCTGTCTGAAAGAACTGTGAGTTCAAGCGAAGACTTTGATCTCGGCAGCATTGTTGCTTCGTCTCCCGTCTTGGAGGCAGTGGCACAATCGACTCAGACATATGACCATCTTGGAGATGGTGCAGGGACGACACTCTCCTGTATGACCGCTGCCCGGATTCTTTATCATATGGCAGAGCAGAAGGGACAGGTACAACCGGAGGACAATGTTTCTTCCAATATCCCAGCTTGCACGGATGCTGAGTCGAATACCTCTCTGCCTTTGCGGCCTGACACTTTGGCATCCTCGTCTCAAGTGGGTGAACTACTTGCTGGAGACTTGAAGATAACACCACCCTCTGTCATTGCGGCTGTGGAGAATGTGGGCAGTGTGGGTTTGGAGAGTACTGTGAGAGACACAGATGATGTTTTGGTAGATAACAGTGTGCCGATGGACTTCTCTCAGGTGGATGGACTGCATGCGGCAGTCTCTGTTGGAGTTGTGGCGGGTGTGCTAGCAGAGAGAGGGGTGGGAGACCAAGGTGTGTTGGCAAGCACTAATGAAGCAGATGCAGATGATAAGAAGTCGTTTGAACGCCGAGATGATGACGGTGATGCTTCAAGGAAGAGTGGGATTGGCCAACCCGAGATGGGTCAATCCCCTTCATCTGACCTGAAGGGTGCAGAGGATTTTCTGTGCATGTCAGAGCAGGCATCAGCGGCACTGAGCTTGGAGGCAGCAGAGGATGGGGAGGAAGTTGGGCCACAACCTCATGACCAAGAGGAGGAGGATCAGCAGGAGGAGGAAGACGATGATGATGACTCAGACGTAGTAGATGACGATGAGGAAGAGGAAGAAGTGGCATTCCCACCTGCTTATGTCCATGTAGTGGGAGCAGAACGTGAGGAATTAGCCATGGAGACACAGTCTTCTTCACCAAGGGTGGCTTATCGGATGGATCGGAGCCTGGTTAGAATGTATGGTGAAGGGAGAAGACAGCGCGGGAGGGGTTTCATACGAGAGGAAGATGATGATGCAGAATCGGAGGAGGTGGTTTTTGAGCTCAGAGATGATGAGATTGAAGATATTATCTACGAGGATGCGGATTTTAAACACGACAGCGAGGAGGGGACCTCAGGAGGCGAGACGGAAGCGGAAGGTGAAATGGATGACGAAGAAGACGAAGATGGCGATGAGGAGGTTGTCCTTCCACCTGTCTTTAGACAACCTGATATGGTCGAGATAGAAGAAGAGCTGGAGGCATCATCGTCATTCGAGGAACTTCAGAAGCTATTGCTCAAGGCAGCTCGAGAGCGGATACAATATCAATATCACAATGGCAGGCAGGCTGTGAGGCGTGTCGATGATGAGAAGGTGGTCATCCGAAGTGGCAATCGCTCTGGTGAGCGTGGTTCAATGTCAGAGCCAGAAATACAAGTGGCCAGCGTGTCGTCATGGGGCAAACAGCTACATGACGAGGACAATGCTGTAGCGTCCACATCAAACCTGGTCCAAGGGCGTGGAGAATACGATGCCGATTCCCATGCACACAGGGGCTCAGCTCCCTCACCTGTTGACATCAATCCTAGAATACCAGCAGACAGATACCTGGAGCCTATCCCGATCTGCTTTGATTCGCCCAGTACGAACGTGCCTGATGACCTGACACTGCCAAGTGCTGCAAAAGCAGGCAGGGAGCGGCATCGGGACAGCATAGGAGACGGCAGTTTTATCAAGTCCACGATTGTTCAAGAGGAGCTATGGTCTCCTTCCAGATGGAGGGAGAGGGGTGGACAGGGCTTGCTCTACGCTTACGAAGGGTTGCTGGAGGCGAAATCCTCTGGACAACAGAGGTTCCAACAAGCACTGGACGGCCTTCGGGCGAGACGAAGAAAGTCAGGTGAAGGACTATCTGGGGAGAGAGAAGGAAGCGTGGGAGAGGATGGGAACGAGGTCAGGTCTACTGTTCCTGAGCAATGGAAGGCGGTTTCTCCCGCGGCGTGGAAGGACAAGGCCACCCAGGGTGTGCAGTACGCATATGTAGGCTTGACAGAGGCCAGGGCTAGAGGGGGGCAAAAACTTTCTGAGGCATTGGAAGCGCTTCGAGCGAGGGCCTCAGCAGCAGTGAGTCCAGCTGTATCGAAAGGAACTGGAACGAAGGGGGCGGCAGGGGATGCCTCTGTTCCTGCCGATGACATCTTGGATAGCGATAAGAGTGGAGCAACGTTCAAAGTGAAGTCCGCATGCCCCTATTCGGGATTCAAAGTGGAAAGGGTCCTAGATGTTGGTGGTGCTAGATCGAAGGGGGCAGGAGCAGGAGCGTCGGAAAAACCCGGCAGAAATAGAGAGGGGGAACAAACTGTGTTCCACACCCTTTCTAAGGACTGCAAGACGGTGTGCTCAAGGAGTTGGCAAAGAGTGTCGACATGGACGGACACAATTCTCAAGAGAAAGGCCACGACAAACCGCAGTGAAAGAGAATTGTCAGCTCCAACCTCTTCTTCATCGTCAGCCCCCTCAGACTCAGCAGAAGCACGGGAAGGATCTGGAATGGCCGCTGCAATGTTCGCTTTGTTTGTGTTCATTGTCGGTATGCTGTTTGCAGTTATCATGCCTGTATTGTACCGGTTGCCGGTAGGGAGAGCAACGGCTATGCCTGCCTCTAAGATACAGGATTCCAACCTCTTCATGCCTATCAAGCAACCAGCTGGGTCGGGAGACTTTCACAATGAAGCCTGGTGAAGCAAGACCAGGGATTGGTAAATATTCCCGACCGTATAACCTTTCAAAGATCGAAATCGATGTACTATCCCGAATGAAATGAGATCCGGAAGGAAGGAAATCAGTGTGCATATTGGTTTCTTCAAACCCAGCCGATTGAATTTTGATTATCCCTTCCAATATCTCGTCGATCCTCCTTGTCTGAGCTCCATCACACTGGCCATGAAATTGTGTGGAGGGGGTGTGTACCGATCACGCTGAAAGATTCTACAGCACGAACAAATCATTCTGGAATTCGAATATGTCCTTATGCACTCTGCTCCCTTGGTTGTCAGCCGCATGTCCACTTCTGACGTACAAGTCCCCGAGGATGCTAACCCCCGGCTAAATCGAGTCTGAATTGTTTGGATTCGTACCATAATGTACAAAACTTAACCTACGGCAGTGACTTACTGTCCGCAGGAGCGATCTTCAATTTGCGGTCCGGGGGGCTGAGATCCTCAGGTCAGTGCTTTGGACAAATTTGAAATTCCGGACAACCTTCAAATCAGTCATTTCAACTCAGAGACATAGACGAGTGGGGGAAGAAGAAAACAAAGAAGGGGAAATCGGGATTATAGTGGGAGGTCTAAGAAGGATTGGCGGAGGATGAGGAAAAGGAGGTGGGGAGAGGAATGGAGAAGTACCAGTGGATAATTTTTTTCTAATGTATTCTACTATTTTCAGATTTCTTGGGCGTGTTGGCGGCGAAAAAGTGGTCTTTTTTTTTTTTTTTCTTTTAAAAGGGCGACGGCCTTGAGATATTATCATTGAGCTGACCGGCCCGAAGCAATTCATTAGTAGTTGGTTTTACTGGTCACGTTCCATCATCTGGATTCGAACACAGGTCTGTATTTCAACAGTTCATGGGTGTGCTGTCTTTGTTTTTGTGGATGTCATATATTTTATTTTTTTCGCTTGGTGGTGAATGTGGTGATACCATTCACGGTTGTTGATGGGAAATGGACAAAAGTATAAACGATTATTAGATTATATTAATACCAAATTACTATGTCATAAAGAACATAGGAACAAATGTGTTTTCAAGTTTCAACTTTATTGGGTGGTTTGGGGGAGGAAAATTATGAGAATTTATGACCTCTTATTTTGTGGACATAAATGTTGTGCTTGATGGTGATGCCTCCTCTTCCTGTTGTTGATAAGAAATGGAGAAATACATTGAAGTTCATAATGAAGTAAAAATTTAATTAGAAAATTCAAAAATGTGCTTCCTGTGGTAGTGGGTGGCACTGGGTGCCTTTTGGGATTAAAATTATGGCCTCTAGTTTTTGAACTGTTTTTCATTTTTTTTTTAGTGGAATATCATGCATTCATTTACTTTGTGGTGGCACCTTGTCTTCCATTTGTTCTCGCGGCTGACCTCTTTGTCATTTTCTTTTGCTGTTGCTGTGCTTGCGACATTGTTGTACAGGTCGCCAGGCTTATTTACATCGTCGTTGTCATCATCATTTTTAAAAATTTGGAAGCATCTTTCACCTGAGACGAGGGGAAGCTCACGGACAGAGACATGCAGGTGATGCACGTTGTCCACCAGTGTGTGCGTGTGTGTGGATTCTTTAAGTCATTGCCGCCATGGTAGTTTTTTCAGTCCTTCAAATCTTTTACTATTTCCGTCCTTTTTTAATTCTTTGAGTTGTTGTCGTTAGATTTTTCAGAGTCGAAGACGGGAAGATGTTCCATATCTTCTCCAAGGTCTTTACGGTTCTTTGCTGCCCGTGCCATGCCCATGCTGGGCAGCTTAGCCTACCTGCCCAAGGATTCTGTTGGTTGTAGAGGGAGGGGCTTTGTATACAGGATTATACCTTTAGAAACTCTAAATGAGAGCTCGTAAACTCTTCTCAGTGAGTTAGGAGTAAGTAGGATTTGCAGCCATTTTGTCTTTTCGAGAGATGTTTAATGTCCGTTTTCTATTTGTCAGGAAAGACCAGATGGAGGAGTAGCGCAGACGGCAAGAATAGCCGTGGTAGCTGCAATGAGGATTAACTTTCTCGTTTGTTTGTTTGTTTTTCCTTGTTTCTGTCTCCCGTGTATGAAGCAAGTAGTGGTAGGGGAGGAAATGTAGAGCGCACGGTTTATGATAAGCATTTCTGCAGACGATTCATTCCCTCTTCCCTCATGCCTGAAGGCGGTAAGCATAGAGGAAGGGTGGAGAGAGGGAGATGGAGGTACTAGTCATTGTTTCCTTGTCCGCTGCAAAATGGAGGTAGGCATTTTTATGTTGTCCTCTGGGATACTATGTAAATTCTGTGATGGTCACAGTAGGCTGATGAGTAGAGATAGGAATCAGCACTAGGTTAAGCATTTCTGCCCATTTATTCCATGCTCCGGCGGAACTCGCAGGTTGTTCTGAACACAACTCTGTTTGCTCTCATTCTTCTCCCCTTTCCCCCCACCCCCACCCGCGCCCACCATCCCCTTCCTTCCCCCATTTTTTTCCCTCTTCCCAACTGTCCCTTATCAGTTGAACTCTCTCCAAGCTTTCAAGCAACAATTCCGCATCGTGATGATGTTGAGTGTCTGTTGCATGTCCTTGGGATTACAGCGAACTGCCGATTTGTCGCAACAATCGGCACGATGGCGAGTGTTTGTAGCAACAATCGCCACGATCTATCACCTTGACTAACCTTTCTTCATTTAAGTCTGGTGATTTGATGTTGATCTTCTTCATCGGAACTCAGGTGTGCTAGAGGGGTGGTCAATGGGGGGGGGTGCACATCAGTGATCGGTGAATTGTTTCTTTGTCAGAATTGGATGATTAGATATCATTCTCCATTAATAGGGTCGTCACCGGGTTCTATTCGGAGACATGGAGGATTCACACCGCGTTGATAGAATCATGCCAAGTCTGATAGTAAAAACGCGGTGGCGAACATGAGGAGGTGCAGAATTGGCTTTGAATTCGAGAGGTTCTTGGGCCTTGGCGTTCGAGATATAGTAATGCTTCTGAAGGATAAGACTTTTTTTTTTTTTTTTTTTTTTTTTCCCCCCCCCCCTACGTCGCTGGTGGAATCGTTAATCAGCCGGAAGGGGTATTGCTGTTGATTCAGTGAGATATTGTGTTGGGCCTGTTGGCGTTAGCTGTGAGCGGCGTGAATTCGCAGCAGCCAAGTCTCAAGAAGATATGGTGTACTGAACTTTCAGCTCTTCTTACTAGCCTACGGGATGGGAGCAGAATCAGCGGTATCGCTGTTGACGTAATGAAATTATCTTGTTGTGTTGGCTGTTGCTGCGAGTGGCTTGAACTTGCAGCTGCAGCTCTCACGGCTCGCACTTTATGCAGAATCTGATATGCTGTTTCAGACTTTGTACTCTTTTTAGCCTAATACTATGGGATGGGAGAAGTAATCCGCAAATGGTTTGCATCTGAGGCCAATGCGTATGCTCTTCTTGCTGGACAGGGGGGTGGCGAACATTGCCCGCTCATTCCTATATGGAACCGTGGCAGTGATCTTGCACTCGAGACTCTGGGGCGACATCAATTACCGTATGACATTGTCTCAGCTCTGTCTGTAAGCGCGACAGTCTGGGGAAAAAATTGAGGGATGTTGATATGTCTTGGGTTCTGCAAGCTTAGGCGAAAAAAAGAGTACTGTGCCGAACAGATGATGGAAGCGACTTGTTATTTTCCGTTGCGCAGTTGCAGATAATGTATACTATCTTCCGTCATGTGAAAAGTCGCGATGTGAGGATGTCTCCTGACTGTGCGTCTTCTGCCATCAATTGAACATCAGCAAATTAAATATCTTCTGTGAATGAGGTATACTGATCTTCCATCGTCTTTTTAAAATCGGCCCCACAAGGTCAGCAATATTGTTGTCTAACAATTATTCCAAGCTTTTTTTTTGCCGCTTGTTCGAGGACCATTTAACTTTCACGTCTTTAGCCACCAGCAAGCAATGTTTCGACTGTTTTGTGGTTATGTGCTGCCCCCAGTGTGATATCTGCCTTCCCCCTTCTTCTTCTTTTTTTTCCCCTCTGCTTTTTTCCCTGATTTTGTTAGTATGCCAACGTTATGAAAGGATTGCGCGAATTTGCGCCACATCGTTGCAGTTTCGAGTGTTTTTGCTATTTTTAGTATTTTGCAATCGACACAGATTCGACATGTGAAAAGTGACACACGGGAAACATACCGCCAGTGGCGTCTGCAATGCCATTGCAATGTAACTTGGTGTCGTCAACAAGAAAAGCAAGATGTGCAATGGGGGCAGGAGAAGGTGGTGCAGGTGATGTTTGCAATATTTGTTCAACTTGCTAATTTGCTATATATGGTGATGTCAACGAGTATACTGTGGCAGCAGTGAAGGTGGACACGGTGGGCATCCCCTTGGCTTTGGTGATATGGAAAAGAGAGACTTGGGCTTGGGGGAGAGAGGTACAGATGACGTCTGGGAGATAGAGGTAGATAAATTCCGGAGCTTGAGAGAGAGAGGTAGGTAAACTCTGTGAGAAGGTATTGGTAGGGATATGGTGATGTGTGTTTGCTTGTTGTATTTTCCATTTTGCTCACGGCTGCTGTGCGGTGCCATCTTTCGCTTGGTGTCATGGTCGCTGCCACTGCCAATGTATACGTGTTCTGTTCTGCCGTAAGGGCTAATACCATATGACTTGCATTTTTTTTTTTTTTTTGTTCTGGGTTTTGGGCTATTTCTCGATTTTTCCGCGTCATTCTTGTGCAGGAGCCATGCTAATCTTCCCTGTTTCATTAACGGACCTCGTATCATCACATGACTCTTGTTGGTCTTCTTTTTCTTTTCCCTTTTTTTTTGTGTGTAGATCAAAACCATAGCTAGTATCTACATGTCTGTGCAAAGCCTTACCAATGCTGAAGGTTGAGGGTTCAAATCCCTCTTAAAGTTTTTGGTTGCTGCCTGCTCAAGGAAACGACATGATAGCCTACACAACCCCACCCTGGGGTGGGTGGGACAGAGAAAATGGGGGTGACCGTCTCGAAATGATCTTGATTCAAGAGAAAACTGCCCATTGGCAAGGCTAAGCTCGAGGGTTCGTACCCTCGTTCGGTGTTCATCCACAGACTCTGAGGGAACAACGAAGTGGGAGACAGTGGTTAAAGAAGGGTCGGTGGTTAAGGAAGAATCATGTTGGTAAATGCATGTAGTAGATAATTAGAGTAAATGCATGTATTAGATAATAATTAGAGTATAATAATTGTACATTGGTGCAAGAAAGCCTGGCAGAATGTGGATAATTAAGGGTGTAATCACACCAGCTCTATCTGAAAACGTATTTGACCACATTTATGGCCGGACCTGGATGCATCTGACTGCAATTATGGGCACGTAGAAAAGTCCTAGTGTGAGTATGTGGCCCCCTAAGTGCTGTTTGCTTCCTGATAATATCCGTGGATAGCAGGCTAAGAACATGGTACACTTTTTCTTTTTTTTGGTTGAACTTCACGGAACATCGGCTATGAGAGTCAAATGACATCTGATTAGTCAATCTGCCAACCTAAGCAATGGGCTTTCAAATGCAACGGGAACCTTCGATCTCCTGTTTGTTATTCGTCATTTGACAATGTACCTTTTTTTCTCCTCCTTTTTTTTTATTTTTATAACCCACTAAAAAAATGGACCATGTCAGAAAATGTTTTTGATCTCTGTGTTCCATCCTTGCGCAGGGGCCATGCTAATCTTCTCGGCATTGTTCCTATCTCTTCTTTAACGGATGTCCCTACCTGTTTGCTTGGGACTGTGTAGCTTGAGCATTATTCCGTCTCTGTGTCTTCCAGAGTCTCCAGAGGGCAGCATGCTAGACAGGGCTGCTACAACCTCGTTGGCATTTTCTGTCCCAACCATGAGACCCGAGCTATGCGCTTCGAAATGCAATAGAGCAAATGGAGATCGTCTCTCTCTTTTTTTCTCTTCTCCTCTCTTCTCTAGCTGCTTGCTTTTTTGTAGTACGGGTCTTGAGCTTCGTTCTTTCTCTCCCTTCCAGATTGTGCTGAAGGCACGATGCTAGAGAGGACTCCCTGACACTTGTCGACTTTGTTCTATCATAACTCTGAGACTGAATGAGCCACAGTGGCACAGTCTCGCCCGCGCTGAAGAAGCCTCGGAGAGACAACAGGACCGAAGAATCGGCGAAGATAGGCTATAACGGGCACACAGGCACATATGTAATATGACCTTCGGAAAATCCATATACCCGTCAAATTCACAAATCCCATTGGCTGAAAAGAATCACAATAGGCTATAAAGGGCACACAGGCACATATGTAATATGCTATTCGGTGGCAACTTAGCGGCATAAGCGAGATCTGTGCACTGAGCTAGTGTCTTCCCCTGAACGCAATGCACCCTCAATACGACTGTCACGACTGTTTCTGAGCACGTACTTATGGCTTGTATGCATTCAGAATTGGGAACCGTACCGGTTGTGTTCTAGGACGCACCGTCAATATGACTGTGTCTGACCGGACTTGGGACTTCAAATTATGCATTGATTCACAATTTAGGTGTGTTGCATTCGGGGGAAGACGGGAGCTTACGTGCGGGTGCCATCAGGCCTGAGTTCCCGGCAAGCTCGCTTCTTTCACCAGTTCTATGCTCTCTCTGATTCACGTTCAAGTGCATGCATCTGGCTCTCTTTCGACTTTGAAATTCTCTCTGTGCTATTACTTTGTCCGATTCTCCTTGCGGTAGTTCTCTCTGTTGTTGGTTGGATAACAGTCCGGCAGAGTCCAGTCCTGACCGTGCAATCGAGCGGCCAATCTGTGCAGCTGATGGCTATGTCAGTGCACAGAGAATATAAACCAAACTCCTCTCTCTTCTACAAGAGGTCTGATATGTTGCGCTTTTGGACTTCATTCCCCCTCTTCCATCTCCTCTCTTTTCTAAAGACAACAGGTAGAAGGTAGGTCTTTAGTTAGTCATCCGACCATGATCTTAGAGAGTCTCTGCAACTTCTCAGTGAAGAAAGAAACCCGGAACAGAACCTGGAATGGGGCCTGGAACAGGATCTGGTAGAAGATTTGGAACCAGACCTGAAACAACACCTGGAACAAGACTGAAACAAGACCTGGAACAGGACATTGAATGGAACCTGGAAAGGTACCAGGAATGGGACCTGGAATAGGCCCTGGAACAGAGGTCTAGAACAGGACGGGACCTAGAACAAGACCTGGGACAACACCTGGGACAGTGCGTGAAATTCCTGGTAGCTAGAAAGGAAAAGATCCTTTTCTTTTCCTTTGGAAAGGAACCCAGAACAGAACCTGGAATGGGGCCTGGAACTGGATCTCGAAGAGAATTTGGAACAAGACCTGAGACAAGACCTGAAACAAGACCTGGAACAGTGGAACAAGATGCGGAACAGGACATGGAACAGGACATCGAATGGGACCTGGAATAGACCCTGGAATAGAGGAAGATCTGGGACAATACCTGGGACAGTGCGTGGAATTCCTGGTAGCTAGAAGATCCCTTTTTTTTTTCCCCCTTTGGAAAACCGTGGACCTAGAAGATTCTTGCGCGCTCATCTCAGAACATTGTTAATTAGACCCACGTCATGGTCTACAGGAGATCAGGCACTAAGATTCCTCGGTATCATGGTAAACAAGAACGGGGTGTGGCCAGGCATGGGCCAGAGCCTTGTCTCTAGGGCAATCTCCCGCATGGTCCCTTGCAAAAACGCTCAGGCCTTGCTAATCGGGAGAGCATTACTAATTAACACGGCAATCTTCTCCACACTGTGGTACATGGCATCCATATGGTGCCCCCCTGATGACGACCTCAAAACGCTAAAGAACAGAGCTAGATGCTATCTATGGACTGGAGACCCCAACAGGACCACGTGCATCAACAGGGTAGCCTGGAACCACATCATCAGGACACCGCAGGAGGGTGGTCTTGGGTTAATTGATCCCAAACAGGAATCAATATCACTGCAGACGAAATGGGTTATCAAGATCCTGATCAGACAGTCCCTTCCTTGGACCCAGATGGCTCTAGACAGCATCAGAAACCTGGCGCCCATCAACTCCCCCCTGAACATGAGAGGTCTGTACTGGCTCATGGCGAAGGACTGGGCAATCAAATCAGGCAGACCTCGAAGGAGAAACCTGGCAGAGCCCATCACAATTCCCACTCAAACAGCCATCTCATATTGGAGTCCAGTCATCAAAGCCTGGCGGAGACTGATGCCAAGTAAACACGGTTCACCGGGAAACAAAGAAGAGGTCCTGAGACAACCTCTCTTCTGCAACCCTTGGATCAGCGACCCTAGCGGAGTCACGTGGACACTACGCGCAAAGGACCGAAGATGGCTATCCTGGGTGGAAAAAGGTGTGTGGCAGGTAAAACACATCTGGGTAGAGGACCAAGGACGATGGGTCACCGAACAGGAACTACGAAATGTCCTAAAAGGCTGTCACTCCCTCGCTGAGAACCTAGCGACGATCCAGAAGAGTATTCCATCACAATGGCTCTCCCTCCTAAGGGAGGACTTTTCGTGGAAAACTGGGGATTGGGGCATACTCATCTCCCAAACCCAGCCTACCAGAGCATATCGATTC